CGTTAAAATAATTTAACGCAAAATTACTGAAGCACTATTTCTATTCTAACCCTTTAACCCAATTTTGCTTCTCTGCTTGCGATCAGATCATTTTAAGCCGCTAAACTCCGGGAAAGTTTTCAGTCCAATGATCCAGTTAGTGAATGCATTCAAACAATCCGTCCAAAACAGCGCTAATATAAAGGAAACCAGGCTGATTACATCAGAGATTGCAGAGAGAACAGAGACTCGCGTTGCGTTTTCAGTGAATTATTCATTCCAGTGTTTCGCTTTAAAACACGATCTCTGTCATATTCTGTGATTGTCTCTGAAGAGCGCGAGCCCTCACACGTCACACGCGCTGTGTGAAGTACAGACTGAACGGATTGTCAACGCATCCCACCGCTGTATGGCCAGATGAGACGCAAACTACATTTTCTCGACTGGATAACCAGTCTCGCTAGTAAAGTTTTGATGGATGAAGACTGCAATCAAGGTAAAGACGATTGCGGTGGCGTACAGGAGTCATAGGGTACAGTATGCACGCGTGAGTCCGTTATAATAATGCGTGTATGAGTGCTCTTGACGCACTGATCGCACATTGTATTTATGCTTAGGCACAGACATTTCCGTACATTCACGATAATGTTTTGATTTGTCATGTTTATGTTGCTGTGTTTAGTTATTCTGAATGGATCCGTGTACTGTAGTAGATATATGCAGTCAGCAGGCGATTGGTTTAGTGTTTTTTTTGGCATCTCCATGTGGTCCTGTTCGGTATCACAACTTGGCTTTTCTAAAATGTAAAAAAGCTCTTTGCTGTTTTTTTTTCTTTCATATATGCTTATATGGGCTCCTTATATCATTTGGTTCTTTGGTGTTCTTTTGGAGTTTCTAAGTGTCCTTTTTTGGGAAGACATCTAAATTTATCTTGAAAAAAGCTTGCAGAAAATATAGATTTTTGAGAATCACCCTTCAATCTTTTGGTTTACTTTGCTGGATATAGCAAATGATGACAAAATAAACATTTGAAACAAGATAAATGGTCTATGCTTAATTTCATGAAGTGTACGATTAATCGCGATTAATCACAGAAAAAGGATGTGATTAATTAGATTAGAAATTTTAATCGATTGACAGCCCTAATTCTTACTAAATAAACATACTAATTTCTTTCCAAAAAAAAAAAAAAAAATCTTACTGACCCCAAACTTGTGAGTGGCAGTGTATTTAAACATTTTAGCCTGTAATTGGGTTCAACCTTATCTTTGTACATTTATCAACCTACAGTAAAACAAGCAAAGTTCGTTAACCTGGTGTTGTCTTCTCTAGCTGGTACCAGCGATAGAAAGCTCGTTTCTTCTGTTCGCTGAGATCTGAGCCCTGCTGGAGGAGCCAGTGAGAGATTCTGCTCTGACTGATGCCTGACGCACAGAAAGACAAAACAAATCAATAACAAATGAATGCACAAGTCAGAGTCAAACTGACAGACAGAACAATATCAAAACAACAGCCCATCTTACACTCAGAATTGTATTTTGGGTTAGTAATTACGGTTAAATCCACTGCACATTCTGTCCTCGCTGAAAATAGAATGCTGTAAAGCGACAAAATCTTATTTAATCAGAACATATTGTTTAATATAAATCTAAGTGATACAGGATTGTGAATAATTAACTGCATTCAGTGGCGAGTGGCAAAAGTGGAAACCAAATTTTGATCCATACATTTGTTGCAGTTGTGAACAAAAATTCTGATGGAAATCACACCTGTTATGACTGTTTCAATGAATACTCCAGTTTCAAAACAGCATCTGGTACATGCTGTCGATTACCACAGACAATAATTTTGAATTGTGTAAATGCTTCAGTACAAAAGTGTTATTTAACCTGTGAAGTCTAAACCCTCTAGCAGTGGGACTACTATTCTTGGCAGATGAACTTCCTGTGGTTTGCAAAGACAAGGTCAGTAAGAGATTCTATCAAACTATAGGACATTATTAAAGACAAGACGGATAACACTGCATAGCCTTCACTAAAATAATACAGATTAATACTAATGGTTATTCATTTGTGAGAAGTTTCCTGTCTTTTGTTGTTTGGTTAGCATTAAAAACAGAGAGCAGCAGGTATATTTGGCTGGTGTCACTTTGAAGACCTAATGCACAGATCCAACATATTTGACCATGGTAATGTTCACTGCAGGCAAAGCCATTGTTTTTTAGGGGCCAAGCATCGAAGGTGCGAAGGCACCTATTGTATCCGTTGGCGTTCTTCTTCTTCCGTTCTTGAGTCTATGGCAGCCCATAGAACCGCTTGCGGGAAAGTTGTGAAATTTGGCACACTGATAGAGGACAGTCTCAACATTGACCATAGCAAGTTTGGCATCTCTAACTCAAACTCTGTAGCGCCACCACTTGTCCAAATTTTCACTCATGTTTATGCTAACAACTTTTGAACCGCAAGGGCTAGAAACAAAAATTTTTCCTCTGATTCCTTGGCTCAAGGCGATTTGATCGTAATTTTTTGTCATATTCCGCCATTTTGAATTTTCTGAAAAGCCTACTTTTTCAAACTTCTCCTAGGCCGTTGCTCCGATTTTCACGAAAATTGAACCAGATCATCTTCAGACCATGCCGACAAAAAGCTATGGAATTCAAGTTGATTAGTCAAACCGTTTTAAAAAAAACACGCAAACAAATTTTACGTAGCACTTGTGAAAATAGATGTAAGGCTTTATCTCCTCAACGCTTTATCGTATTCAGACAAAACTTGGTCCATCTCATCACAAGCATGACCTGAGGTTACATGCTGCATGTTGAATTTTGTCGAACTTCCTGTCCGCCATTTTAATTTGTTGAATACCTACTTTTTTCGAAACTCCTCCTAGACCTTTGGTCCGATTTGCACCAAATTTGACTCAAATAATCTTCAGACCATGCTGGCAAAAAGTTATGGATTTCGTGTCGATATACAAAACGGTCATCGTTTAACACATCAACGAATTTGCTGGAATGATGCAAAATTGCGTCTGAGACTGTATCTCTGCAAAGCTTTGATATATTGACACCAAACTTTGTATGTTTCATTGTCACCTCACACTAACCACATCAATTTGGTAACAGCACCACGTATTGGTCGAACGTAATAAACCATCCATTAACCATTAATGATTACATTTCCAAAAATGCTAATAACTTTTGATTGCATTAGCCTATTGTAATGAAACTGGTCTCAAAATATTCCTTGGGTCATGCAGAGACCATAGATACTAATTATCAGTAGTGGCTCCTGGCCATACGTTTAGGGCAGATTCTGGGTCGTAGCACTACTTTATAATACATTTAAGAAAGCTTAGCCTGTAGTCTTCATAGTCCAGTCGCTGAACACATGCACACACACTTTTGGCAGAGATCTAATGTCCTTGCATTATTCAGCCTGTGGGCGGCACGCTAATGTTGATTGACAGGCTCGAAGTACACACACATAGAATGCTACAGAATTATTGCCTTAATATTGTCTCCAAGTGTTGATTTAGAATGTTACATGTTGTAGAGGAATTTGAGTGAGGAAACGAATATCATGTCTTATCTCAAAACAAACATAAAACAAACTCAGGATAACTACATAAAGACTTTTCACATGAGCACTTTTAAACTAAAGTATTAGCACTTTCATTAATTTAAAACACTACTCAACGTAAAAAAAAACAGACATGCCAGCTAGGTACTGACCTGATGCAGACACATGTAGCTGAAGCTCAGTGATATTGTCTTGGTCTGGAGTGAGATAAGGTAACGTGAAAATAAGCGGGGCAGT